TCCGTTCCTTATATACTCTCCATTCTTTGAAAACCTTGTTTTTAAAGGGACAATAACACTCTTGCTGGCTTGATAGCTCCAGAAAATAAAAAAAATAGCCTTATTCTAAGTACTAGATGTGTCTGGTCCTACCTGTTGTGTAAATTATCCATTAAATCCTATTTTACTTGTCCAGACGGTTCAAAAATATTTTTAAATCCAAGTCACATTTGAAAAGCTTTACGTCAGGCTTTTCAAATCATTTAGTTGAATTTTTCCAATTTTTTAAATTAGGTGTGTTAAGATGAAATTTGTATCATCAATTAATTGAAATATTGTAAAATAGTGCAATTTGTTGACCAGAATAAAGATTGGGACATATTATTCAGTTACAACAAGAGTAGTGTTGAGCCTTTAACGGATTTTCAATATTCAGTGTTCCGCGACAAGGATGACCCCTGTTAATTTTCAGCAATATAAGATTTCTGTTCCAGAGATATAACAAGCACGTGAACACGATAGAGATTAGATTTCTTGATGAATGCTAGATCCTTATTCAATTTATTAAACAACCAAGTTTTCCTTTCGAATGCTGTTGAGGCATAGATGCTGCGTGGGCGTATCTCGTTCAAATTTCTTTTGAATCCAAGTTATTTTCGGCGGAACAGTGAACCTTATTGATTCGCAGCGCACCCTGGTAGGGTTTTGAATTTCATATTTGGTGTGAAGTATTGGGGCCATAAGTCGATGGGCCAATGGTTGTTTCAAAACGTGGAGACACTATCATATAGGTTTCATATTAACTCGGGATCTCGAGAAAATTTACACAGGATGTCCATATCTCGAGAACATTAACTCGAATTCTCGAGAAAATTTGCACAGGATGTCAATATCTCAGGAAAAATTATCAGGGGATTTCGAGAAAATTAAATTGAGATCTCGAGAAATTTACCAGGTGATCACGGGATTTCGAGAAAGTATCACAGGAGATCTCAATTTAATGTTCTCAAAATCCCCTAATAATTTTCTCGAGAATCTCCCATCCAGTGTTAACGATCTCGAGAATTCGAATTAATGTTCTCGGGATCTTGCCATCCTATGTAAATTGTCTTGAGATCTCGGTTATTTTTATGTGTGCGCGTAGATTTAACGTATTCTCAGTGCCCTACAACCTGTCGTTTCGGAGTTTACAGCCCCCCCCCCCCACACACACACACACACACTCTTTCCCGAAAACCTCAATAGCACGATAGAGCCTATCGTATTTAACGGATTTGTTTCAAATTTAGTGTAAAGCATTGGGCCATGAGAGGACGGCCCCCGTCGCTTCTAGCGCACCTTATCGTCCTGGAGTTATCCCCCTTATCCGAAAAACTTGTTAACGCAACAGAGGCTATTTAACTGATTTGGTTTTTCAAATGTGGTGTGAAGCATTAGGAACTTTCGATTTTCAGTACAGCGCAAACAACTGTTCGAAGGTTACCCTCTTTGGCCCAATATTTCGCACAAAATTTAAAAAAAAAAATACTCCAACATTTGTTACAAAGGAAAAATGCTAACTAATGAAAGAATAAACGGACCATCGATAGGGTGGCCATGATTTACACTAAATTTGAAATATGATTAAAATCGATAGGGTTCATCGTCTTATGGCCCAAATACTTCACGCCAAATTTGAGATTCAAAACCCTACCACGTTAGCTTTAATGTGTGAAGCTTTGAATTACAGACATGCTTGTTAAATTATTTCAATTTAATGTTTGGGCGACGTTTAATAGAAAATGTCATTTTTTGCATGGTTTTCGGACCATATTTTGTTTTAAAATAAAGCTAGACACAGAGTTTATTGTCTTGTGGCACAAATGCTTCGGAGTAGATTTTAAATCAAAAATCTTGAAAAACTCTGGGCTCTAACGCGTTCACAAGGTTTACAGGAAAATAGGAATAACGCCATAACAAAACGCCAGGGAGCGCTGCAAATCAGTAAGGTTCAATGTTCCGCCGAAAATAAATAGGGTTCCTCTGCTTATGACACTAATGATTCAAAAGAAATTTGAACGATAGCCACACCAAGTTTGGAGATACGCCCAAGCAGCATCTATGCCTCAAGAGCAAATTATTCGAAAGGAAAACTTGGTTGTTTAATGAATTATATGAGGATCTAGCATTCTTCAAGAAATCTAATCTCTATCGTGTTCACGTGCTTGTTATATACTCTTCAAAAAAGCAGGGGATATTCAGAAACAATACAAAACTGCGGAAATGCACTGCTTTTTTATTAGAGGTAACCAGTGTATTTTAATAACAGGCCAATTGCCTACACAATTGCTTATCTGACGGCCCCATTTCACTCGCAAAGAGATACACCGTCAAAAGTGAAAATGGACGTTTTGGATTTGTGTCTTAATAATGAGTAATTGCTCTACCAATTCTCAAACATTTAGCAATTCGTCGTGGTATCCTCCTAATCAACCGTCCAATCACGATTTGGAGAAATCTGACCCACTCCTCTTGCAGTGCCACAGCCAATTCTTGCAGTGTTGTCGGTTGACGTTGAGGTCGACGAACACGTCTCCCAATCAAATTAAACGTAACACACTAAAGCAAAGATACGCTAAACAGAAAATCTTATGCAAGAACCGACAGGAAAGCAAACATGGACAGATAAACCAGCACGCGGCAGTTTTCATCAACCCTTCGTTGAAGTGTCAAATTTGACAATGAACCCCTCCCATGTGCATGTGCATCTCAGTGGGTCTGTTTGGGCGATAAGTTCTTCATCTGTGAACATACTCTCAAAGCATGTCAAATGTCCATGACTATTTATCATATCGCAACCTGCATAGGTATTTGCATTTCAATATCCCTACATTTTTTGAAGAGTATATAACAGGCGGTCTAGTTGATGTGAGGAATTAGCCAATGAAACGGTCTGTTACGGCGAGTTCTTGGCATGTTCTGCACGGAACTGGGTCAAAAGCCGCTCGTATAACCCATGACGTTTTCTCCCAGTACAACTAGTCACATCGTCATGTAGTGTAGGCCATCGAAAGTATAAAAACACGAAACGAAATATACATCTGTATTATAATCAGATTGCTTTTTCGTTCAGTACCAATTTCGTCATTCCAAATAATAATATCAAATTATAATGGTACATTTCAAGAGATCAGGAAATGTACATAAAATACACAGTAAATTAGAGACATGTTTAGATATTAGTTTATTCTTAGTCTTCATCAGAAGATTCAAAATCAAAGTTCATAATATGAGCGGTGGAGGGGTGGGGGTGTGGAGGGGGGAGGGGGCTTTGGACCCCTTGAACAAGACGTCATTAGGAATATATATAGCCAGACGAGCATACCTTATTTCTGATACACCAAGCTTTTATCGCTCTTTTCCCTAAGTCTGACATGGCCTGTTATTGGATATACATACACCCAGATACAGATACACATACGTATTTACATTTTCCATGTTAGGAATTCCAATATGGAACCTTTTATTAATTTTGTTCTTATTTATTTGAGAAATGAATTATTTTTGATTTGTCTGTGTTGACGTCTAATTTCCAGTCTGAACAGAATTGACTCAACCAATATCTGTTGAGGAAATAATTAAGAACACACACACATACCAGTTATGGAGCAGTTCGGCCATACCCGGTCCTACTAATCACCGACATTTAAATTTTGGATATGATATGGGGGAGAGCGGGGATGGTTCGGACGGTGGGATGGTCCGGACACCCCCCATAGCTTTAATCTTTACAATCCTATCCGTTTTCTGATTGGTTATAATAATACTAAAGATCTCATCTTGTAACATGTAACATGGCAGAGATAAACGTTCAAATGTAGATGCAGATAAGCTTTTTTCTATTTTTGACAAAGTTGATGTAAAAAATTTCTAAAGTTAAATGCTTAAATTAACAAGTTTCTGTTAGGGGTAGGCTGTCACCTTTCTTCCTTCGGTAATTAATTGAAATAGATTGAAAATTTATCATATTTTAATTGTAAATAAACATAATGGCGACTTATAACAGAATTATGGGTTTGGGGTACATCCGGACACTGTCCGGAATTACCCCACAAGTGTTCGGATCAAACTGTTCAATAATTCCAAGAGTCAGATTTGATAAAAAAAAAAAAAAAAGAATGATGACTGGCAGTTGCGGGTCTAATAAGTTTACTGAAATTATGGGTACTGCTTTACTTCCATTAAATCAAATTCTGTCAATTATTCCGAAACCCTTATCCAGTAGCAACAAGGGGATGAGTTATTACTACAAATTTGGTACGTCATTTGCGGGAATAAACAATCGTTAGCTCTTTCGATGTAAATTATGGATTGATGTCATACCTAGAGAATAGCAAGAAGCTTTAAGGCTTTATAATTATCAGTTAATTCCTTTTTGAATCGGTTCATTTATTTTTCGTCCAGCTATGTTAAAAATATGTCTCAGTTAGATGACATTCAGCTTTAAATTTATCACTACTGTGTTAACTTTATTGCTAACAGAACTTTTTGAAGAAATAGAACTAAACTGTGAAAGAAATATTTTCAATTTGCTTTTGTCCAATCCTCCTCCATTTGTCCAAAGTATCCCCCCAGGGGTGACCAGTGTCTCCCAGCTAATGGGATAAATCCGGACATTTTACTAACCCCCCAAAAATTGGTCCAACACAAAGACTTTTATAGCTACACAGCTGCATCACTGATTGAATATAGCCAATAAAGTAAAGTCTATTTTCCAGTCTTAAGTTCAGAGACAAGTGCATTATTAGTTGCAAAAATGTGAAAAAACCCCAAAGTATCCGAACCATCCAGGCTATATCTTTCTTGAGACTTGTCTGCCACTTTTTGCAATACTTTAAAGGCACTTGTCGGTATGAACCACTATAAAGGACTATTTTACATGGATGTAGTGTCTAGTCCATGTACATTTACAGACAACACGTCACTGAATTAATTTTATCTTACTCTGGAATTCAACAAAAGAGAAGTCAATTAAATAATAATTTATTTTTATATAATATTTATTTCTATTTCTGATTTTATAATGAAACATTTAACAAACAGTATAATTATCAGAAAGTACATTTGGTTTGTGATTAACAGTTTACAATTAGAAATATAAAAACAAAAGCTAAATAGCATCATTTCTGCAATATATTTACATGCCCTAACTAAGGGAAAGTTTACATCACACAAATATTGTTGAAAACATTTTTATTTTTTATTCAAGTTTACATTACATTGGGTATTGTAAAATAAACAGAAATCTCTACTGAAATGATATACACTGCATCCAGGAAAATATTTTGACATTTTCATACCCATTCTAAAATGAAGCAAGATGAAACTAACACAAATTTCAAATAGAGTAAATATCAATTCTTTTATAGAATGAGGAGCCACAGGTAGGCCTAATGTATTGAGGAAAATATTACTTTTTCAATTCCCATTTCAAAAAAAAAAAAAAAATGTAGGAGAAACTGGCACCATCCCCAAGGAAGTTCTATACTGACAAAACTATTACCAGTATTGTCACCAAGAAAATTGTTTTTTAGATTGCAAATTAATTTAAAAAATAGATATCAATGGTATTTTTTAAGCTGGATCAATGAGGTTTGACCCCCCCCCCCCAAAGCCCACTTTATACCATTAAGTGACTTTGTTTTCAATATCCTCTCTTATTTTCATGGAGAGATCAACAGCTATAATGCGCTGTATGTCTGCAATTTGGCAGCAACCAGCTGATAGAATTACAACCTGTTATTTCGCATCCACACTTGTTATTATAAAGTGCTCTACAGTCTTTTATTATCTTTAAATACTTCCTGTAAGTTCTCGGTCCATTGCCGCATTTCCATAGCAACTTATCAATTAGAAATACCAAGGAAATTAGGGTCTGTTACACAGAAAAATCTGATACTTCTTAAATGTCATTGGAAAATATAACGAGTCTAGAAAATATCAATATTTTCAATTTTGATTCGTAAACTTCTGATAAAAAAAAAAAATTAATAATGGATGAGTCCCATCATGTGAGTAAATGCAAGATTTTTAGGAAACGAAGTCCATAGATATTTACACACACACAAGCTGTAAAAATACTTATATATTGTACACTGCAATATGTTTTTATATGGGTGAGCTATTTTATGACACTAGAAACAATTTATATATATGCTAAATATAACTAATGAGTAATCAACATGAGAAACATTACAAAATTATCAACAGGAATGCTGTAACTAAAACAATAACAATTAACTTATTAACACTAATTATTGTTAACCATATATAGCATAAATTCCAATATATACACAATATCAAAAACAACCAAACCCTGCGAGATTAACAGTAATTCTAAATGTTGGAAGATTTTATAATATATATTTGACACACTTAATGTACACCCCCACCCCCCCAAAAAAAGAAATAAACCACTAGGTTGTTTTGTTTTGTTTTGTTTTGTTTTTGTTTTTGTGTGTGTGTGTGTGTGTGTGGGGGGGGGGGGTCCATTTGAAGTTCTCACTTTACCATACCCAGGTATTGCCTGTACCTCTGTTGTGCAGTGGTGAGATTTACTGTCCTGATCTTGTTGAAATCATGACATTTGATTTTGTATAACTGACAGAAGGTGTGGCTGGGATGCTAGATGCTATTTAAAGTCATTTCTAAGGGAAATAGTCTTTTCTCACATGCTTGAATAGGTAGGTCACATCAAATAAAAGATTCATTTCAGATGTCAATCATTATAGAAAATTCTATCCTAAGACCTTATTTTCCCTGAGACTTTACACATTCTTTAATATTGGTCAAAAATTAGTGCTGAATTACACTAGAACTTACATACAACTAAAGTACATATATATATATATATATTTTTCAAGTCATTGTTTCCAGAAGGTTTTTGTTTCTTCAATATATTTTAATAGTAATAATAGTGTCGTGGTTTGCCTTAAAATGCATGCTAGTTATGAACCACAGCTGATTATGCCACTGTTGCCTAGCTTACTTCATTTTTACATTCAGAATCATCTTACGATAAGACATAGTTATTATACACATGTAAAACTTTCATAATCCTTACACATCTAATTCTTACAAATCTAATTCTTTCATATCTGTGAACAAAAACAGTAACACTATCATTAACAAATGACACAAAAATGCTGAATGGTGGAAGAACATTTGATTTTTCTTAATCCTGGCTTCAACAGAAATCGTTTGCTCAGAATTTTTCAGTTGTGATCAAAATGATACAAAATGTCTTCTCAAAATAAATATAAATATAATCCTTGAGTGGCATTTAGCGATTGAACACATTAAAAACACAACACAGTTTATATGGAAATACAATCACTGGTTTATAAGTATAGCACGACGTTTCGACAAGTATTCTCTTATCGTTATCAAGCACAAATGATGATGGTTCTGATGGAACTCTAAGGGTCTGGTATATTTCTTAGAATTATATGGGTCTGATATATTTCTTAGGATTCTAATATAGTGCTATACATGTACATGTTGTAGCAATGAGATATGGAAAAAATTAACCTAATAAATATATGGCAAGCTTTGGGTCACCTGTCCACAATACTTACAACTTTTAGATAAAATTTATACATATTACAAATAAAATTGATAAATGTAGCATGTCAGCAACATAAGCTGTTAAAACTGTGTATTTAAACATTTTATGCCAAGATTATTTTAAAATATCAATATAAGGGAATATTTAAATCAATATACAGTAATATACACATTCAATACAAAAACAGTTATTTTCATCTCTAAGTATCCATTTCATGTGTATTTGTCTTGCCAATACGTCGGTAGGCAGACGAAGTGACTTATCGTCAATAGGTATGGTATGAAGATAAGTCACTTCGTCTGCCTACCGACGAATAGTTCTGTGTGCATTAAACTTAAAATAAATAATTTTGATATACATGTACACTAAAGGCGGGCATATGTCACCTAACAATTCAATGTGATTCTTAAAATCATGCGCAACCAGCAACTCAACTAGATTATGGTGCTATCACATGATTAAATTAAAATGGTGAAAGTTAGTTTCAAATGTAACAGATTACTATTTGTACGAGTTGAGAATAATCAAGGCTTTATAGACTTTATCAAATGGATGTCTGTTATATTTGAATGATGTGAATAAAATATGTCTAATAACAAGTGAGGAATATACACAAAAACACTATTTAGCACATTATATATGACACAATAATATATCATGTCACCAATAGTATTTTCTATATAAGCTGAATATTGTTGTGTGCAATACTAGCTGTGACAATAATTTATACATGGGCATTCCCAATAACATTATTTTACAAATTAAAGGCTCGTGTCTATACAGTTTTTAAGTGTTTACAATTGTGTTTTTGGTTAATGAAACATATTTTACAGTGACAACATCAGCAAAAACTTGAAACTTAATCAACTTTGTAATTGAACTGGGAGCAACTACTTTCAACCAGTTGCAAATGTGCTTGATCAAATCAAGAACAGGGGGCAACTGAATTCATTTAATTTATTCATCACTGATCAACAAAATGGCAAATACCTTAGAAGACACAACCAGAAGGCATGGTCCGTCTTGCCACATTTCTATTACTACAACATTGTCGACATCATCAACATTTGAAAGGTGGATGTTTTCGTTGGCTTCCATATTGCCTATTTATAAAGTCACATGAATCACATGAGGTGGCCGAATGGTTAAGCATGCATGTTGCATCATAAGGTCTGTCATTGAGTCAAGTGCCGTGATTTCGATTCCCTGCTTGTACATGACAAGGAGTAAGGTTTTCTCGAGGTTCTCCTCTCTCTCTCTCTCTCTCTCTCTCTCTCTCTCTCTCTCTCTCATATATATTACATAATGTATTACATAATGTTATTTCCACCTAACCAAAGTTTTGTAAGAGTGCTCATGTCGACTAGTTGCCGCTAGTTGAAGCGAGTTGCCAAAAGTTAAACATGGGCAACTGGCTTCAACTGACTGAAATTGTTGCTTCGAGTTGTAAGAGGTGCTCAGGTCGATCTTTTTCAGTTGCATTCAGTTGAAGCCAGTTGCTGTAAAGTATACATAAGCCCCGCTTTAGGTCTACATTTAAGTTCATCATTGTGAGATTTGAACACTGACACTTTTTCAAAATGAAAACACTGCCATTGATCATTGCTTAATCTCACACTGTTGATATGTAAATAGTACTGTTGGTACTTGATTACTACTAACTTCTTTCTGCTATTAACCATTTCAGTGCCATGAATGTTTTAACACAACATCAAGAGTGCCAGGCATGATTGCTGTCATCTTCCAGTTTCTAGTATGTTTGTTTCAATAAAACTATAAAGAGATATGTTGTACATGAACTTGATTTCTACAGCCTAACATTAAAATTTAAATAAATATTTGTCACAATTCTGTGAATTGAGTCAACTCAATTTTTCAAATGTTGACATAATTATCTGTGTACATTGTAATGTGACATTCAGATTAAGGCATCGACAGCAATTAATGCAATCTCTTGTAAAGAAACAAACATATGAAATGAAATGTACTTTTCTGCACCAAGTGAGCTAATGAAGACGGAAAAAGGAGACAAACATACACTTTGGCTACCTATCATTTTACTAATAAGCCTCTTATATTAATTGACTATTGACAAGGTTAGTCACGTCACTGAGTTAAATGTAACAAATGGCACTGTAAGGTTAAAATTTTTTAAAAACTTGACACCGATAGGGGTTAAGTAAATGCTCTGACACTTAATTGTTGCACTGATCCTTTAAGTTTTGATTTAAGATATATTTATATATATATTCATATATGATGACACAGCAATATTGTTTAGATGATATTTAAGTCTTCTTACCACCTGTAAGTGAAGATAAGATATGACTGGTCTTGTTCAATTATTATTATCAATTACATTTTATCCTGAAACTTGGTGTACATATATTCTCGCACCATATGATGAAGAAAAAGTTTTTTGTAAATGTAAAATACTGCAGCTTTGCAAGCAGATTGAGTCTGGAATTGATTACCAGTACTCAGGGCACAAGATAAGAACAAAGTTTCTAGCCATCCTTCAACAACAGACACCAAATAAAAATATTAATTTCAGCATCAATTTGTATTCTCCTTTGAACAAAAACTTTGTTCTTAAAACACAATACTTTTAAGTATTTGTCACAGTTGCAAGACGAAACCAGATGTTTTTGTATCCAAATAATTTGCTACGACAGATAACTTCAAATTATTTCAATAATTGAAACACACTTCTTTAAATTATTTTTCTTGACATGATTTTCAATTTGAAAGTATAATCCAATCAGCTTCTTGTACACAAAAATGATACAGTGAGAAATAGTCCAATCATAAAGATGTTTATGTGTATTTGAGCAGAATTGTTTTTGTCGTCAAAAACTTGACCACTTGAACCTGGAAGGACAAAAAAGTTATGATTATTATTTTCTCCAGAAATCTGATGCTTCTAATAATGAACTGGATATTAAGAAACAATGAATAATAATATAAAATAAACAATCTATCAATGCCAATATCAAATTCACCATATTTCAATGTCTGTGCTGATTTAGCACACAAGTCATTTTGACATCTTGTCCCATACTTATACTTGCCCAATAACAGGTCAATGAGAAATCCTGCATTTTTATTGTATTTTTACAATTGTCAAGTTGTTCTATAAGTACTTATATGGAATGTTCCCACAACCATTAGTCATTCAGTAAGGGGTACTGCTTATTTGGGGTTTGACGTTGAATTACAGCACTAATATATAATGATGTCAAAGTGGCAAGCAGTATTAGCTGAGTCCATGAAAATGATACAAAAATGTAAAAAATAATAATAATGTGTTTTATTATGGGTATCACAGGACTAACTCTTTTTTTATGCCAAAAATGAAAGTAAACAAACTGAATTAATATTTTTAATCACGATTTGATCCAAATACCAATCAGATCCACCTAATTAAGCACTTAATTCAAAGCGGTTGGGCTCCTTTAAACATGTCTGCAGATGTTACTGGAGTGACCAGCATAAAAAATGGACTAAAACTATCATCTAAAATGAACTAAAACTATCATCTACATGAAATTAGATAGCTTAATTTCAAAACAGCTTTTCAGATGCCAATATCTCAAAAAACAATTAATTTTAACAGGCCAAAGACTGGGATTGAATTGAATACAATAGATCATAGTCAAATAAAACTGACCTTCTGCTTTTGACCACTTAAAAGACCTAGTCCTGATTTCCTTTTTAAAAATAAAAATAAAAATCAATATGTATTTACCATTACCTGGTCTGTGGTTATAACGTGGTCTACCACCATTACGACCTGCATCTACTTCATATGGTGGTAAAGGATTCACTTCTGTACGAGGAACATATACAGGTCGGGGTTCAGGATACATTTTACTAGGTGCCACCAACTTGGTATATGTAGGTGTAGTTGTCGATGTCGTTGTTGATACAAATAAAGGATACTCTAGATAACAGAATTAATTTATTTTTTAGGTTAACTACTCCATTTAGCTATATATAATGACTGCTTAGTGCACGAGATAGTGTATGCTTGCTCTTTTTTGAACACTAGACTAATACCTCTTCTTCTTTCAGGAATTCACATAACTAACAGACACTCTGACATGTTCAATGGAATCTAAACTTTTAACCTTAAACTTTGTCCAAAAAATATGACGGCCATCAAAGAAAATGTGATCAGAAGTATCGAGACATAAAGGGGCATTATGTAAGATTGATATAAAGAGCTGGCTGTTCTTGCTATATTTCAAAAATAGATAATGCAAAATGAATATAAAGAAAATTTCATTCAAATTACTATATTTTGAGAGAAGTTATCAATAGTTGTAGTTTTGATGAGATGTGTGCATTGACCGTATCCACCATACTGGTCATTTAAGTCTTCAACTCGCCACTCGCGTCTCCATTTTTTTAATTAAATCATTAAATGGCCGAACCGTTCTAATCTACTTAAAATCAGAGCCATCCAATGGCATCGAGAGTTGTCATGTTAATAAATGTCTAATAATTTATATAACATGTAAGGCCCAAAGAAAGACCTGCAATAGGCAGATTTAGCTCTTACATAATGCCTGTTTAAGACAACAATCATGCTCATCGTTTTTATGAAAACAATATCAGAAGTAATGGTCAGAAATATTTTTAAAAAAAATTAACTTTTAATTAATTTAATCTTACCATGGAGTGTCATAAACTCATAGTCACTTCCTAACACATTATTAGCCACGCACTCATATTCCCCATAATCATCTTTATCAATGGATCTAATACGTAAACTTAATGTCACAGTATTCTCTCCTTCATCATAAATCTCTATACGATATTTCATACTATTTTGTATCTCTTCTCCATTTCTACGCCATATATTTACACCCTGCGGATAACCTGATATAACACATTCCAAGATGGTCTCTTTTCCCTTTGCCTGGCCGATCTTTCTGTTAGGTAATCGGATTTCTGGAGGAACTACAAAATAGGAGAATTGATAAATTATTCAACTTATCATTTAAACTTGCACTTTACCTAAAGACAACACCTGATTAAAATTTTATCATTATATACAACTACTGTAACATATTTGCCATTTACTAAACACGTTTCATGCCAATCTGAACTGAAAACAAGATGACTAGTCATCAACATACGGCGCCCTTGCACTTGTTTGGAAGAAATAAGGAAAAATAACTTCTTTATGCTATTGGTAATGTATACATGTAGCTGTTTGTATTGTTACAAATTTTTTAGCCAATCAATGAAAGAATAGTACATTTGCCAATACCCAAATAACCTAGAACAGGAATCATATATCCTATAATTTATGCAATGTATCATTACGATTGTACTGCAGACATTTACACTGGCATGTAAATGATTTAGTACAATCCTCACATTTATTCATCTTTCTTCCTCTCTGTAACAGTAATAAATGTACATGTATACAAGCAAGGTTTTTAAAATTAATGATGAATAGTCGAATGTGTATTTAAATGAGTTTTATGAGTAAATGATTTACTACAAACATCTCTTCTCCTTTAGGAATGTCCAGAAACTGATGAGAAAATGGTTTATGAAAGCATAACAATGAAGCGGCAAAATATAGATATTCAAGTAACAAATGTACAAAAAAGTGAACTTAACAAAATACAATATGAAGATCATGTTAGTCTTTCGTAAAGTAAATAATGAGTGAATCATATACTATAACTGAAAAAAAATTGGTATTACAGGTGCACATAATGTAAGTTCTGCATCCTCTTATTTTGAATTTCTCAGATTTGATAATTTTATGTGTTTCCAGAAATTCCTAAATAGCATAAGGCACAACTAATGTAATAGGTTGATGTGTGTACAAAGTTTCAGAAAAATATCTTGAATGGTTTATGAGATATGCTCCGGAAACAAAATTGTACACCAAAAACTAAGTCTAATTTGTTTCCATGGAAACACACAAAATATCAATCCCATAAATTCCTAAATAGCAAAAGGCACAACTACTGTAATGGGTAGATGTCTATACAAAGTTTCAAAAAGATATCTTGAATGGTTTATGAGATATGCTCCGGAAACAAAATTATACACCAAAAACTAAGTCAAATTTGTTTCCATGGAAACACAAAAAATATAAATCCCAAAAATTCCTAAATAGCTAAAGGAACAACTACTGTAATAGGTTGATGTGTGTGCAAAGTTTTAGAAAGATATCTTGAACAGTTTATCAGATATGCTCTGGAAACAAAATTGTACACCAAAAACTAAGTCATTTTTGTTTCCATGGAAATGGAAACACAAAAAATATAAATCTCAGAAATTCCTAAATAGCAAAAGGCACAACTACTGTAATGGGTAGATGTCTGTACAAAGTTTCAAAAAGATATCTTGAATGGTTTATGAGATATGCTCCGGAAACAAAATTATACACCAAAAACTAAGTCAAATTTGTTTCCATGGAAACACAAAAAAATATAAATCCCAGAAATTCCTAAATAGCAAAAGGCACAACTACTGTAATAGGTTGATATGTGTGCAAAGTTTCAGAAAGATATCTTGAACGATTTATGAGATATGCTCCGGAAACGAAATCAGACCGGATGGACGGACGGACGAACCCTGTTTCAATATCCCTCCCTAACTTCATTCGGCGCGGGATAATAACCTTAACTCCTATGCAGACCCCATTCCTTATATTCATATCTAGGTCATTAAAATATTTTCAACTAAATTTGTATTCATATTCGTTGTTCAGAGTGATAATGAAGAGCAATCCAAATTGATTACCAACAATGTTGCCGTCAATGTGAAAAAGCGTGGAAGTGAAATACTTGAACTTCAAATGTGTACATGTTGCTAGCCAATTCCTATAATGTTTCACAGTGGATTTTATGTAAATAATGGATTTATATTACAGGTAGTGCCAGGTTACTATGAAGTTTTGTTTTAAACTTATTTTGAAAAACATTGCAAACAGGGTCAGTTAGCCAATGTCACCAATGAAAATTTTCTTTTTTTCAAGTCATATTTTTTCCTTTTCAGATCCAAAAATGCCTTATTATTCCTATCAGATTGGACTTGGACCTTCAAAGTATATTTGGATTAAAAGTAAATGTATTTTGGTTTAATTCAGATATAATCTCTTTTCATTTGGTTTAAAACACTTAGATCACTCTGTTCCAGAAAGAGGTAATAACAAGTGTCAGAATTTTTAACTTGAAGTTTGTAAATAGTCTTATGTGGCCTAATTCTCATAAGAGTTTTGTCAATACTGTTGCAAGATGAACTTTTCAAAGTTAATCTATCTACTTGAAATGATTATGATTTATCTTTTACCATAATTTTTATAACTAAATCATGTTAATAATAAAAATATATTTTGTTAGATATATGGTTTATGAAGGCTCCATTGTTCTATTCTCTAGAACAAAATGTTATCAGCTGTACAAAAGTCGTGTTATCTTATTCCCAAAGAGGCATCTCATAATTTCTGTTAATCAATTACCAATAATAGACAGCAACCATAAATTGACTAACTGTGTAATGAGAAAACACTTGATCTTTATCAGTGAAAAACAAATAGAGTAATCAGCTAGAACTGTTATAAAATCAGGAGTTTCCTACTATTGTTAAACATGCAGGATCAAGATGTTCCTATTCTAACAACCACTCTAACCACTTTAAAATACAGATAGTTTGTAGCATCTGTTACTGTGCAATTTTATAAATTTTGTATCTGTCCTCTTAGTTACAAACAGGTGAACTAAACACTGATATTTTTGCAATTAAAATGGTTATCACCCATTGTATACAACAGAGTTCTCAGTGGACCTCATAAGTAAAGAAAAAAATTGAAAGTTCTGTAGGTTACTCCTTTTTAGTTGCAAAAAAAAGTCACCTAAACTTTGCAATTAAAATGGTTAGCTCACATAATATACAATAAGGTTCTCACAACTGGCCTAATAATAAGTAAAGAAGAAAATCAATCGATTAACAGTTGGGGTTGTTGAAATGTGACATTCAAAGAGAGTTACGTTGAAAGAAAAATTCTGTTTGAATAAGGATTACCAAATAGATACATAGCCAATGACATTCCACTTATGAGTCCCTGGTGCAAGGAACCAAGCGCTTGCCAATGCTCATACAATTGGGGCTGACAAACAAAAGTATTACCTACTCATTCAGAAATACACGAAAAATCAAGGTTCAGCTGCGTGTCCATCGGATGTTCATTTGGAAATGATACCACCCTGGCAAAATTATTATTACTCGTATCATACCAGGGATAAAGAAGAAAGATGAACCACACGTTAGTTTCAAAATGACATTGCTGATGAGCTGTGAAACTCCATTCCTTTGCTTGTTTAATGTGCATTATAATAATCATCAGTTTAACAATGTATACGTGTTTAATACATTTCACAAGAAAATATTTAATATACTTGAACCAGTACTTCAGAGATCTTTGTCAGTCAATAAAAAAGAATTTTACTTCATTTGTCTGTACAGTTAAATTAACAGTAATGTTCAAATGAGAGAGAGAGAGAGTTTAATGTCCACTCGACACAAACTAGGTCATTTCAGGACTAACATATGGTTCGATTTTATTTCATTAATTTGCTTGTGCGTTGGGGTCTTTAGCAGTGGAAGGAAACCGGAGAAAACCCACAAGGTTGGACAAGCGACCCTACTCCTTGTCATGTAAAACCAGGGCATCGAAACCATGCCACTTCACTCAATGACAGACCTCATGAGGCAACGCCCCCCCCCCCCCCATGTTCAAGTGAGAATGTATATAAAATTTGAAAAAATCCATGGCTCAGATACATACATTTTAATTTATGAAGTCATTCATATTTTTAGGACTTGAAATGAATACTTATGCAAAATGTGACGCCTGGTATTTTGAATATGGTATTATTTAAAATAATTGCTTTCTTTTTTCTTGGTGGAACTGAAAATGCATTTTGAATAATTATATGCCAATCCAGACTGAGTGTCTTACCAAGTAACATAAGCAGATGAGTGTCAAATCTATGCAGCCAATAATATCAAACTAAACTAAATTGAACCTAAATATTGACACTTCATAATTGCAAAATAATTGATCACCCAACCCCACACCCGGTTCAAAAAATTTTAAAGTATTTTAACAAGACAGAAACACAAAACGCTTGACATCAGTATTTACAGGAATTAATTGTTTAGAAAGAATATCAAGTCACACAATCTGGACAATTTATCTATAATTAGATTATGTGTCATTCCACTGCTGAACATTCTCCAGTTTTTACTATAGAGACCATTAACTAAATACCAGGAGCTGAAGAAAGCATGGGGAGGATCAAGTTGCAGATCTTTTAAAAGAAAAGGAAAAAAGTATGCCTGGTAGCATAGTGTGGAATCTGATATCAATAAACATAGGACCAAATGTAGCAGAAATAATTTATTATCATTGAACAATGGTAAAAGGAGGTAATACTTTATCCCAAAAGTATTTTCTTGATTTTCAAGGAGTTATTTTCAATAATTTTTCTCTGTAATATACTCTTCAAAAAAAGTAGGGGATATTGACATGCAAATACCTATGCAGGTTGTGATATGATAAATAGTCATGGACACTTGACATGCTTTCAGAGTATGTTCACAGATGAAGAAATTATCGCCACAACAGAACCATTGAGCTTCACATGCGACACACTATAGTGCCATACAGTAAGAGGGGTTCATTGTCAAATTTGACACTTCAAGGAAGGGTTGATGAAAACTGCTGTGTGCTGGTTTATCTATCCAGGTTAGCATTCCTATTGGTTCTTGCATAAGATTTACTGTTTAGTGTATCTTTGCTTTAGTGTGTTACGTTTAATTTGATCGGGAGACTGCAAGAATTGGCCGTGGCACTGCAAGAGGAGTGGGTCAGATTGTACCAAATCGTGATTGAACAGTTGATTAGGAGCATGCCACGACGAATTAATGAATGTCTGAGGATTGGTGGAGCAATTACTCATTATTAAGACAAAAGTCGAAAAAATGTCCATTTTCACTTTTGACGGTGTATCTCTTTGCGAGTAAAAAGGGGCCGTCAGATAAGCCGCCCATATGAACTGTTTATGTTCATGTGTAGGCAATTGGCCTGTTATTAACATACACTGGTTACCTCTAATTAAATCAGCAGTGCATTTCTGCAGTTTTGTATTGTTTTTGAATATCCCCTACTTTTTTGGAAGAGTATATATAGAGCAAAAATATTAACGAATATACCTCAATAACCATGGTGATACACTGATTTTCAGTAGGGTTATTATTAACCTGATAATGATATGTTTTGTGCAACAGATTAAAGTTGGAAAGGAAGCAGCTGTGGGTATGAGACAAATATGTTTGGTGGTGCGTGTGGCTTTTGTAAAGTAACATGGCGGATAACCATATTCCATTAATCTAAAATTTTGTTCATAATCTACTGGAAGCAATACTTTATGGATTCAGCGACTAATCTCTAAATTCTCCAAATTCAAAGGTAGCCCAATTGACTGAAGAAAAAACAGGTTACATAATTATATATCAAACCACCCAGTATCCAAATCTGATATATCAACTTTTAAAATAGACTCAAACATTATCAGTCACTCACTCAAGAACTGTCCTATTAACTAGACCTAAAAGTGCTGTGAGCATTCAGATTAGCATGAACTGTTTGTGATATAAATGTATATATTATTATTATTATTATCAGCTTTACTTACATTCAACAAGCACTCTAATATGTTTGTTAACAGAAGGTGGAACCCCATTAGATGCAGAACACTCATATAGATCATCACAGTATCTGGTGACATTGTGTATCACAAGAACTTCTCCTTCTATTCCAATTCCTGAAAAATAAAAGGTAGTTTGTCAGGCAAATGGTACTTGCCCACATCGAAGACGTTCGAACAAGGACCATAACTCTGCATAAAATCAGCGCACAGCTCTCAATTTTGACTGGGTTTCTCCCAGTAAGTTTGAATAAACAATGTGTAACACTGTTACCACGTACTGGTAGACACAGACCAGGCCTTAAGTCCCATCAACACTATACTTAGGTCACTTTGAGACTTACATCATTTCTATTGTTACATGTAGAATTTTGCCTAAACAGCAGTGTTTCTGTCTACTCTTCTTCAAATTACAACTTCTAACGGAACCTTTTACGCATTTGTACCAATAACTTTCATGCCATCCTAACAAGACACTTTCCTTTTCAAATCCCCCCCCCCCTCCCCGGACAAATAAGAACCAGACTTGAAAAAGCCCAAAGGTTCTTTTCATTTTCAGTCCATGGTGCTAACCGCACATCAACCCCATGTCTTCACAGATTGTTTACTGGATAATTTACTATTCAATATTATTATTTATATTATTATTCACTTACTTTCTTTTTCTATATCGCCTTCCTCTCTCAGACCAGTTGGTATACGATGCCATGTTACTGTTGGTGGTGGTACACCTGTTACATTACAAACTAAACTAACAGTTTCCCCTTCCTGTACTATAACATCAGCACTAGATAAATAGTCGATTATTTGTGGTGGTTCTGAAAAAAAAAAGTCCAACAAAGGTTACTGAGCAGAAGTCAATTTCCTTACATATGAAACCACTGGCATAGTAGACAGGGATTTGGTAAGGCCTGCAGTCAAATTAAATGTGTCCAAAAGGTCATTTAATGCATAATCTGGATTTGTTTCATTAAAAGTACCATATCTGGGCAATGATACATTAATGCAAACTTTTTAAAGCCCTCAATTGGGTGACATTAACTTGATCTTCACACACCATAGTTAGAGTCTAAAACTATTTTATTTTTAAAATGATCACCTTTGAGTTCGACATATTATCCCTTTTTGACTTATCCTTATTAATAAGTTTGTTTTCAATCATTGATCTCCAATTTTTGCAATATGTGTAGTACCATGGACAACCTTTTTGTCAGACGTGGAGAGCGGACCATCAAATCCGGTCGCCACATCCTACATACGACCCATGCATCTTTTCTTACTACTACATATCTTAGTAGCCTTGTGATCGTCTAGTATTATCACCTGTCGCCTTTGCTTCCCCTTCACGTTGTGCATTTACTTCTAACTGTTTTCTTAAGACGTTTGTCCTTCCAGGAATAACAATGCCATTCTCTCAAACCTCATCCAGCCAGACACGCCCATGAGTCTGCTGATAGAAACTGTTACATCTTTTCCCTTCCAGAGTTTGTCTGCTGTCTAGGAACCCAGATGGTAATCTCTCCGGAATTCAATGAAATCTGGCTTAAAAGTTTGCCATGATTTCTTTTATAGGACCCTGAACCTGTGCAATTACTGATATGATTGGTCCCTTAAACCAAATGATGCAATAGGTAAATTTCCAATCACGTATAATCTGGTAACATGTTGTTGACATATAGAACCAGCTGTTTTGGTTCTATAACTCTTTTTTATATACCAGTATGTCAGTCATTCATTCACTAAGTTGATTTAAGTACACTCTACATATTTGTGAATCTAATAACTTGCCAAAGATATTAATTAATACAATATAATGCCATCATTAATTTCAAGAGCAAAAATTCTACAAAAGTTTAACATATGTAGGGTGACCCACCATAAATAAATATCTCCATATATCTCGACAATTACGCCACAATATGTATATATATGCCAAGCCTCAAATCAGTTTCACACAATTATAGTCACTAAATAAACAATCATGTTGTACTTAATAAGCTATGACCATTAATCATGTATAAATAATAGACTGAAAACTGGTTCCAAGAGTCATCCATAACATCCAGACACTTTTGAGTAAAAGATAGGTTACGTGCCCTTGTTTTGAAATAAGTCTCGCTTAACCAGTCTATCGACCATTCTACGTCTGATTGACAGGTCGGGATAATCAAGACTACTTTTTTACGAAACATAACAGAAAGCTAGAACAAGAAATTGAATTTAGAAATAAGCACGTTAGGTAGCTCAACAATCGTTTTAAGAAGCTTGTAAAAGTTAAATGAAACTACTGCTAGTATCATGTTCCTGTCTAACCCGAGTGATTCAGAGATATTATTTGTACTAAACCAAAAGATGCCGCTCTTAACGGTACAGTTAATGATAAAGCGATTTGAAAAATGAAACGAACGTAATTTCTAAATCTGCTGTAATAACCAAGAAGCTTAATTTTACTGCTATTCAAAATCGTCAACAATAAATTTTTTACGGCTGTAATAGTTAATAGATTTGTAGAGAATTGCACGTGCCATGGCTATTTATAGTATCACACTGTCAGTAAGTTGGTCTCGGCACGGCGAATGTGCACGCTTCAGTGGTAGTCTCGAACTATCAGCGGTGGACTGTATTTCTGTGAGTACATGGGTCATCCTAACATATGTGAACAACAACATACATAAGAAAATGAACAGAGTACAGCTAAATTTTGTCATTGTCTGATGTATACACAACATGACGATCAGCTAGAATCTTGACATAAGACTTTTACTTCTTAATTTTTTGAAGAAAATTATGTCAGATAATTATGAGATGAATTCTGTATGTTCCATGTATATTGGGGTCATATCATCATATACCACAATAATCAGTGCCAGATTTACCTACAGGCTTGGCAGGCTGAAGCCTTCGGCCTCAAGGTCTGGGGGGGTCTTGCGCCAAGATGCATACTATTTTTGATATTGTCACAAGCCTTTCTTACACACACTGTAGTCTTAAATGTCAACCATCATCCTCGGCTGTGCTGAATTGTGTTTAAAACACACTTTCTTGTTCCTCTAGTCGTGATTGAGGGGGATTGGAAGGGGCCTCATATTTGGAATGGCCTAGGGCCTCTTTTCATCTAAATCAGGCACTGCCAATAATGTTTGGTGTGTGAGGTACTGAGTTTTGTGACCCATTATACCAGGAAAACTCAAAAATCAATTCTTAATGTAGAGTGCATTACTTAATTTAACATGAAACTCGAATTAACATTTATTTCCATTATAAATTACATGGAAATTCATCTGATTGTAACAATTGTACAATTGTAATTGATCAGATCAACTTGATCACATGAACAAATGTAATTTATTGGTTGATAAACTTTATATTCTACTTGTCATCAATAAAAATATTATGTGTTATATTGCCCTAAATTTTCAAACTTTTACCTCAGATAAATTGTGCAAATTTAGATTTAGTCTGTCTAAATTACTAGACAGCTTTACAAGAAAGATCAACAGGTTAAAGGATGAATTTCTTCACATAATCACCCAGTGAAAATCCCGTTCTAATGTCATCTATCATGCCTTATTACACTAGAAATAAATTTGAGTGAATCCAAATTGACTCTTTTGTGTCTCCAATGTGTCCTTTCAGCATTCCATGCCATGAATTGAAATTAAAGTTGAATATCACTGATTGGAGTTAATGTCATTTATCAGACATCAATCTTAACGCTGCTTAAAGTCTCAAAGCAGAATAATTAACGACTTGGATATTGTGTCTATTGGAGTCCTGCATGCACCAGACAGATTTCTTTTAAACAATAAATTTCTGTACAGATAATCCTTAATCATCTTTAAAATCTTTAAAACAGGAATGTCGATTCTGTTTTTCTCATTCATCTGTTAAGATTATCATTTTTAAAATCAAAAGTAGATAGGCTTATCAAATAAGATAAGTTATATTTTTCCCCGCCTTCTGATTATTGATTGAGAAAAAATAAAATGAAACTGATAAGAAAATGACTACCCAAAAATGAATTTTTACAATGTAAGCAATCATACAGATCAATCCAATTCCCAGAAACATTTATTGTTGAATTTGATAAATTGAATTTTCATGGATGAATTCTATTTTCCGTCTCTTCAGAAAACAAATTTTATCAATCTTAGACTCGGAAAAGCAATTTTTACTCGCCATTTTGTGCAGATTGATTAAAGTGAGATTATTTGTTTCAAAAATTGTAGGTTCTGATTTTGCCAGACGGCTATCCATGTAAAGTAATCATTAATATTAATATTCCTATAAAAGCAGACACACTGATTTCTTATCATGTATATGAGTATTTGGCAAGATTATAAAATATTAACAGAAAGAAAAGGTGTGGAACTTGACTCAGTCTTCTTCATATCACACCAATATTTCTAATATTAATCTTCATTAATCACTGCTTCCTTCCTCCAATGAATTTTATATGAATTTCATCCATCTCCTGTGACGAGTATTTGACAAAAATGATACAACGTAATCATATTTGATGGAGCTCAACCTTTAGTGAATCAATACGGCATAGAATCATTTACACAGAGGAGTGAACACAAGTCAGCGAATTACCACACTTGCTCCCTTATATTTTTCTCCTTCATCATCATTGTTTATTAATTATTTTCTGATAATCATATCTGAGATGAGTGTGTCTGGTCTGTTTTAACTCTACAAGCAATGGCATCATGTGACTATATAACCCACTTGACATACACTTCAGGGTGATTTTCTTAAGACATGATTTGGTTCTTCTATACTATAGATGGTAGTTAAATCTAGATTAATGATCAGATCAAGATGGTCTATAAATGTAGTTGATCTAAAACCATTTCTATTTAAGATTAATTGTACAAAATAAATGTGAAAGAGTAGGCCTAACCTGTAGACTGTTGCAGATTGTAAAATAGACATAACAATTAGCAATCCACCATAATAAATCAATTCAATAACATTCAGTTTGACAATGTTTTGACATTAACTCACAAATCAATTCTATTCCAAATATCATTTACCTAAATTCATTTATGGAAATTTACAAGACAAGTGTCCACCAAAAGATAGTATAAAAGTAACTAAACCCCAAAAATTACAAATTTTTTTTTTTTAAAAATCTGTCAATCAACAAGCCAACAGCGAGGCTTATGTCCCCCGCTGAAGTCCCCCCCAAAAATAGATGCCACATATTAATTTATCACACATTTATTTTATTCAAAAGTATCAAGCAATCAAATTGATTTTCAACTATACACTAAGTTTCATCACTCTCTATGAGATCGAATCAAAGTTATCTTGTCCTAAAGCAGCGACAAATGAAATTGCTTAGCTCTGCTTAGCTTGAGCTCAGTCAAGGCATTCACCTAATGAACATCTACATCAAGTTTAAATATTCTACCTCAATTAGAAGGAGAGTTATTGTGTTCCAAAGTCTCGACCAATCAAATTGCTTATCGCTCTGCTTACCCTGAGCAGAAAATGGTCATTATCGAACTTAGTCAAGGTATTGATGTAATGAAATTATACATCAAGTTACATCACTCTCATTTAATCAGAACTAAAGTTATCATGTCCCAAAGCATCAACCAATCAAATTGCTTATCTCTGCTTACCCTAAGCAGAAAATGCTTATCTTCGAATTCCATCAAGGCATTGATCTAATAAACACCAAGTTTGAACATTCTAGCTCAATTAGAAGGAGAGTTATTGTGTCCCAAAAAGTATGACGGACAGACAAACCCATTTTAATAGTCCCCTGCTTTCTTTGAAAAGCGGGGGACAATAAAAGGGAAATTGATTGTTTTCAACTGAATTTTGGATGATGTAGAAGGGGCCTGTCAAAAATAATTTTTTCTTAGGCTGACCTTAAAAATATCTTTGTTTCGCCTAACGCGACCGACTAACTAAAACCACCCCCGACTTAAATTATTTTATTGCACTTTTCCGCGATCTTTTTATTTTATTTTGTGTGTCAACCTGAAATATATCACGAGAGTTATTTCCCTTTATTATGGCTATGGTTTGATTCATTATTGAAACTGGTTGATCAAGACGAAAGCGTCATAGGTGTCGCTTCTCAACAAAATGGTTGCAGACGAAAGCACGTCCATTCCCACGAAATGATCCTGCCTCTATGTCTGTGGGGCGTCGTTTTAAACATGACGACGATATTTTCAATATCCGTTTTCGAGAAAAATAAAGGCACAACCCGCACGATCGTTAAAAACGTGTTGAGGGAGTTTCAAACGTGAGTTTGTCGCAATTTGTGTGCGAGTCGTGCATCAAGAAAAATCCCGATGCCGATGTCATTGATTTGTTTGCCAATAAAAGAAGACGAATGTTTGCACCCGGAAAATTATCAAGCTGTCAAATTAGCTCTTAAAAAAAAAATCTGAAAAAAACCCGACCTACCGACCCTTCTCCTCGATTGTGGGTCGGGTTTGGTGAAACAAAGATATTTTTAAGGTCAGCCTTATGAGATTTGGTCATCCCTTCCAAAAGTTCTTGGACTTATGACATGTATTTAGTTCAAGTTATAAAGTTTCAATATAGTGGACAAAAGACCTCTAAAAATGCATCGTCAAGGTCATTATAATTATAATAATACCGATAGTACTCTATTCTTCCAAGTAGGCCGCCTAAAAGAAAAATATAATGCATTTCTAAGTTTTATATATAAACTGGCTACCTCAGCTGACCATATATTAATATCACTAATATCAGTACAAAAAAATTCTATATTAATGTTGGCATTTATTTTTTTAAAAAAATGAAAGTAATTACTAAGTATAGATTTGTGCAAACTATAAGATCCTATAATCATCAATTTGGTCACACTGCTAACAAATCTTCGAAATTGTAAATTATAACTATAATTTTATTCATAAATGATCCAATTTCACGGCCAAAAATAGGCTATTTCTTCGAGCAAATATGATGGATGATTTTCAATATTTGGTTTTTCAATTACAATCTCCATCTATTACTAGATCTTTGAAAACTTATTATCACTTGAACATCATACATGCACTAGTTGGCCTCTAGGGTGTTAGCTAATATTTTAACTCAGCGTAAAATGGAATAGGCAGTCATTACTTTGGTGGCATGTTTTCTAAAAGCTTTTCATTGTTTCATATGTGAAATTTGTCACGCTAAGATTGGAATTTAAGCAGCATCAATATTTACTGAATAATCACCAGTTTTTCACATGATTTGGTTATGAGTTGATATGACTAAACTTTTTGTCCTAAAAACATTTTGTGGCTTTTCTTTTGTATAAAAACAATGTATCTCCACCATTTTAAACAATCCACTAAATGTGACTTATTACCAATCGTAAACATGTAAAGATTTAACCAGAAAAACACACAAAGCGAACTCATCTTTTTAAAATCACATCAAGCAAAGATTATTAGAAATGTAAACTATCAGGAAATCAACAAGTCATCCTTTATGAGGTCAAAGCAATTTCCCCTCCTCATAAGATATAAATGAGAGATTAGGTTAGTTTGTGCCTATAAATTATTGGACAGGGAGTCTTGTTTTATACAATACCAAAGGCTGCCAGAGAGCGAAAATAAAAATGGACAAGTTTCAGCAAAAGTCAATTGCTGGTTCTTTTGATAGTTGACCGACTATGTACTGCACCATGTTTAACTTCAAATAAGTGTGAGTTGGTGTAGCTACAATTCAAAGCGCTTGGTATAAAAATGAGTTCCACAAAGTTCATTGAATGTGAATTAGGGTAAATAGAAAAGATGATTCTATTGATCTAAGAAAGTTTTGTGTGTAAACCAATTTATATTTTGATAGTCTTAAGCCCATCCTATCTGATTACTCTGTCAATGCCCAGTTTTCTGGACGTCAAGCTGGCGTCCAATTGACGAATGCTAATTTTCATTCAATGTTGACATTGGTCTTAAATCTTTCTATATTGATATTCTAACTTATTGCCCTATGATGAGATAGGGAGGGGTAATTATTTTCATCCCTGGATGGCCATTTCTTGTAATAGTTAGAACAAATTTCTCCCTCTCGCCTATCGTGCACTGTGATTAACCATTTCAGGCAATAAAAGAATCCATAAACAGAATAACATCGAAGAAATCTTCCTCCATTCTGCTCCATTTATTTCTATCTTTTTATAATGGAGGGTTAGAGAAAGAACATTAATCATACAGTTTAATTTTTCACTTATGATTTTCTTGTAATTCATTTTCAGAATTATATGATTTTTCTCGATGAAGCCGACATAATATATTTCAGTCTCTTTCTGCAATTTTTATACAGATACTGGTAACTGTTTAATATGAACATAAATATCTTTATTACCATCAAAATACAGGGGTGGTTCCACAGGTGTTTTGGGGTGGGAGAGAAGGTGCAAATTAAAAGATGTTATTAATACTAAAATGCATAGTGCCTAAATATCAGTCCAAGAATTATTCAAATCAATCAATTCTAACTTAAATTATGTCTATTTGAAGTTCGCATATGTTTCTATTAACTTGACGTTGCCACCTTTATGGATCTGAGAAAATCATAATTTTGCTAACTTTTCCACACATGACCATCCCATTCTTTATGTAGGGTTTTGTATGATGTAACTAATCATATTATAACCGCATATAATTTTTAACTTTTGAAATCTCTAAAAATAATTCATATAATTTTTAACTTTTGAAATATTTGAAAACAATTCAGCTTGTTGCCCCATTATGGGCAGCAATATTGTTATTAAAGGAAAATAGAAATAGTCTGTACTTTCCCTTGTTTTTATTCATCCTACACTTAATAAAAAAGATGGTAATGCACGGACATATTCTATTTTTTTTCATTTTTTCTTATCTAGTGACAGTCAATTAGTTTTTTTGAATTGTCAGATATCCTCCCAGTCTCATATAACAACTTTTGGTCTTCAAAGGAATTATTCGTGAGCAGAAATTTGCCCGTGTACTATATCTGTTATCACTTGTCACTTCAGTCAGTTATATAGAAGGTAACTCGAGTTTTCCTTTTGCTTTCGCCACTTCCGTTTCTTGAAATCTTCATTACACATCTATTGTAGCAATGATCTCTGTGCTAAAATCATATTTGGAATGTGTTTAACCAGTTCTATCACATAATTGATAATGACTGACAACAATATTGTCCTTTAATTCATAAAGCAATTCATGTCCATCTTTGCATGAAATAACCATATACCATATTATTATAGTCATCTTTATTATAGCTTACTGTATCCTACAAACCCTGAACATTCCTCAAATGCTGCATTTGAAACCTCAATTTCTTAAATTTGTTGGCACCCCAAAAATGGCACTTGAACATGAATACAGTGGACAAAGTAAGAGGATTGCATGTAAGGATGCTTCATATGTTAGAATCTCTATTAATCTGACTCATTATTATTTTTCAGGAGCAGTCCCAGTTTTCACTTGGTCTCCGAAAAAAAAAGTTTGTTTAAATATGCAAAGGAAACTGTAAAATGTTGAAAATTATCCTATTTATCTTGTCTGAAAATTTCTGATCAAGATATTGAGCTGTTTGGAACTGATTGTCAAAGCAATTTCTACTGGTTAGGTAACGCTTTTAGAGTACTCACTTAAAATTGTTTATATGGAGTGACCTGACTAACGATACCATGGTATAGCAGGAAGATGTCACTGATGACTTGTCTGAGTAATAGGTTTCTCCAGACACAAGGTGATTGCTAGTCAAAAGACTTGTCTTTAACTCCAGCTGATAACTGGACATTGATATTTCTTTGAAATCTTGAAGAGTATATATCTGTGATTTCACTTTTAAATTACTACCCTATCAATTGTAATTATTCAAAACATTTACCTCCTCTATTTCTTTATGCAACCGCCTATTCAAAACTTGATGGCATTTATCTTTTGCCTTTCCTTACATGTATTATTTCTTTCTTTGATACATGGAGTGTATAAAGATTAAATACACATTACCTTGTACTTGTAGCCAGACAGGTCGAACTTGGACGGGGTCTGTATTTATCTGACATGTATAAATGCCTTGGTCCGATGGTTTAACCTGTCGTATATATAAATTCCATTCCTTGACATACGGACGTTCAATACTGATTCTTTCATCTGTAATAATTCTCCGATCTTCAAGCGTAAGTACTTTTGATCTGTGGTTTAACCAGACAACCTGTTAAAGCAAAAGAGAAAACAGGCATGTTAATCTATTATACAAAATAAACTGCTGTCGTGTTCTTCTGTATTCTAATCTGCAATGTTGGAGCAATTTTTCAAGAATAGCCAATTCTGTGTGGAAAATAGCTTTATTTATATCCACTTTCACTATTTCATAGACAAAGAAGCTGTCCAGAAACAGTCTCCCTGAAACATTCCTGTTTCTGATTACCCATTTTACTATAACTCCTTGTATGATGTGAGCGTTGAATCAGAAGGTCTGTCATTGAGTCAAGTGGCATGGTTTAGATTCCCCAATTGCACGTGACAAGGAGTAGGGTCGCCTGTCCAACCTCATGGGTTTTGTCCTAGTCCTCTGGTTTCCTCTCACTGCTAAAGACCCCTACGCATATGCAAATTATTGAAATAAAATTGAACCATGTGTTGGTCCCAAAATGACCTAGTTAGTGTTGAGTGGGCTTTAAACCAATTTCTCTCTCTTTGTATGATGGGAACCATCTAAATATGGTCTATCACAAACAGAAATGGAACCCAAAAATTTGCTAAATGAAATTGAAATAATTTTTAGAACTTATTTTGCAAGATATTAAAGATGTGTTTTACACTGCAATATGTCCTGCAGACAAAGCTAATTCTAAAAGTGGTCAATGACAAAAGTACAACTCATAACAACATGGTATTTGTAGATTTTTTATCCTTATTCATATAGCAAACCACTCTCTGAAGCAATTTCGGCATGTGAATTGGTCCTAGTAAGTATATCTAATAACCCTATGATCCACGTAAATTCAGTCCCCATTACCCCGCAAATATTTACTTTCAAAAGTGGGTGGCAGAATTGAAAATAGTGAAGTATCTCACGGTTACCAAATTTTGCAACTCCTGCCACAGGGGGAAAACCAGCTAAAATGATCTACCTTCATCAACACCATGAATACATATGAGATGCTACATGAAATTTTGTCTGCACCATAACTTTTACATAATAAATACTGTTAAGGCCAAATTAACATATCTACAAGCAGTGTATCTCTAAAGAAAAATGGCTATGTACAGTACCCAAGGTGAAATGAAGCGTGCATCGTTTTTGCAAGGTCTCGAGATTGTGTAATTTTACTACCGGTATGTAATGAACTGGATATTAATCAATATTTTATATCACATATGTCAATAAGTATCCAAAGATTTGTTCAGATCATAAAAATATAATAAACTGTAAAATATGAAAATAATTTCCTGATGTATAATGTTCATTATTTTCATGATGTAATAAAGTATGACTAATACAAGCAAAGCAAAAGTTCAACTTGACCATATTTTTCACATCCTAAAGAAACCAAAACTGAGGAAGACCTAATTTGATAAATTACAAACTTGCAAAATAATTAGAATTCAGCAACCATTCCAATTAACTTAGATCACAAGTCAATTACAAACCCCTGGGGAAGGGTTCAAGCCAGAACACTACTCTTAACAGTTTTCACATATTTACTGAATAGTCAGATACTAAAATTGAATTACTGTTCATCATTTCCTTAGAAATACTCTTGTCATAATGTTGAATATAAAGTTAATATTATATAATAATGGTCACAAGGACACTTACATTTTCTTAAACCATTGTACATAGGTATCATGATCTGATGACATGGATGACAAACCATATCTTATATATCAGTGACAAATTCTGGTTTTCATATTTTTGTTTTCCAGCAAGATTGTTGCTACTTTAAAGTTTAGAACTACATGTGCTATCAACTTTATAACTGACAAAGTTTAGAACTACATGTGCTATCAAATAGTTATACCTATCAGCTCACTCAATGAAAAATAGAAGTGCTTTAAAAAAGTTACGTAACTAAAAACTGTTGCGGGAATCATTTCCAAGCAACTCAATATTTTGAGGTGAACCTTTCAGGCAAAAACCCTTTTTTGAGAGACCCACAGAAATCCGGGACTTCTCCTTTAAAAATAATTTATAACTTCTAATTGTAATAGTCAATTTAAAAAAATATATATAATTTACAACTGCTATAATAATATAATAATAAATTGATTAAATATCATTTATAACTTCTACAATAAATTAATAAAATTTAACAACAGCGTAGAGATATTAATAAGCTTGTCTCTGTCATTAGGTCACATTTATCAATATTCAGACCTGTTCAGAAAAGACTGGTGACAGCTCGGGGGAATTCCAATGTTACATTCCTACCCACCATCATATTGATGGCACATAAATTGAGGAACAATGAAGTAATTAAAGCAATTTGTCTCTTACGGTGCCAACAATTTCATAGGATACCCACTGGTATTGACATGAGTCCCATGGTAGGGTACATATTACCGCAAACATATCAACTTGGACAGATTAGAATTGTGCATCAAGTAGTCATGATTCAGATCACTGGGCTACAAAATGAGAAACTCATACACATGACTTTAAATGGCTAATAAATCAATAGGAAAAAACCACAGAATCTTGAATTATGGCAAAATTCTCAGAAGGGCAGGCAAATAGGACCGCCATAAAACCAAATTGTTCTCTTGCCAACTTATCTACAAAGCAATTGCCAGTAATTACATGAATATAATTAATAAAGCAACAATCAATTTTTATGTTCATCCTTTGCATTGGCGATAATTTCCACACATATTCTTCATTTAATGATTGATTTATTTATTTCTTTATTTGTTTGATGTTACTTTTGAAAGAATTTAGATCTATATCTTAAACTGAGTCGTGCTGGTTGTTGTTCTACTTTGATCTTGTGTAATATGTGAATGGTTATTGGTTCAACATCTATTTTTGATGCTCTTGTATATTTCCATTACGATTACAATTACTCTACAGAGGTGGGTTGATCAAGAACCAAATAGATTAATTGTGAGGTAGTCTTAAAAAATAAATCTTATTATGCATAATATTTTGTGTAATCCAGATCCTTCTTTTTGTCACCATCTTTGAATATAAAATAATGTTATATTTTATTACAAGAAATGGATTGTACTGATATACATATCAAATTTCAAATATGACCCAGGTTTGCCTCAAGGAATACAATGTTCTACTGTTAACCGAGTTTCATTAGAAATTGAATCCTATTTTTCTACATCATCTATTTGATTGTATATTGAGAATTCAAAAATGGATTTTGTTGGAAGATTTAAGAGTATTTTTAAGTCTAGTCCATGGAGTCTCCATGGAGCAGTAGTTACAGTGATGTATGAACAGATTCAATCACTAAAGTAAATAGATAATTCCAAAATGTCTGAACTTTGATGTTATCTGTGCATACTAATAGTTTATTTATCAATGCTCCATCATGGAGAATAGGTTTAATAAATAGGCTGTTTGCAGACGACAAATGTTTGAAATTCTGTGCGCAGGCAACATAGTCACACTAAAGAAAACATTCCAACAAAAAGGATGTTAGATTCCTATTATGATAAGATAAAGCATCTTTATTAGCCATAACAACTTGCCTATTCTCTTTTTTTCTGATTTGCTTGGCGCTGAGTTGTCAGTACATCAACTGGTTGATCTGAATGTAATGCCCATTTAGGGTTAACCATTTTGTTTAAACCAATCATATTAAGACATTAGAGTGGGATGGATAAACATCCCTACTATAGTCACAATACTAATTTACCAAGTCCAAGCTAAGTAACATATCAAATCCATTTCATACTTACACACAAATAGGAGTTAATGGATTAGCACAGCATTTATTAATTATCAATTCAAAAATTACATGTTACATATATTATTATCTTATCTTATATTGAACCTGTTGTAGCTGTTGATTTGGTACCATAGGTGGTTTGCCTCAGTTCCATGTGAGCGATATAAAATTAATTACTTATATATACTATTCAAAAAAAGTAGGGGATATTTGATTTTTAAGTGTTATTAAAGTCACCTAATGAAACTGACGAAGAAACAAATGACAAAATGAAATGAAGTTCACATTCATCGATTTATTCCAAATGATCGTTAGACTAAGTAAGGCACAGACTGACCATTATAAGGGTAAAATGATACCCGGGGTCAAACAGCAAAGTTACCACAGCATCACAACCAAGTCAGTAACGGGTAAATCCTCCTCTGTTTGCCAAACAAGCATTGATCCGACGTGGCATACTCCTAATGAGACGTCTAAGGTCATTTTGGTCCAGATTGTCCCATTCCTGTTGCAACGCAGCAGCAAGTTCTTGGACATTGGCAGGACGTTGTTGACGTTGACGTAACCTCTGTCCAAGCATGTCCCAGACATGCTCGATGGGGGAGAGGTCGGGACTCAGTGCTGGCCAAGGTAATGTGGTGATGTTCTGTTGTTGGAGGTAACCTGTAACGATCCTGGCCCTGTGACATCTTGCGTTGTCATCCTGGAAGATGAAACGGCGGCCATGACGTCGTGCGAACGGCACAATATGGACTGCCAAGATGTTGTCCCGGTAGTATTGGCCTGTAACACGCCCTGCAACAACATGTAAAGCCGTTCTTCCAGCAACAGTGATGCCTCCCCACACCATAACAGAACCACCCCCAAATCGATCATGTCTGATGACGTTAACGTCTTGGAAGCGCTCGTTTCGACGACGCCACACCCTCCTACGTCTGTCCAAAAAATCAACAGTGAACCTTGACTCATCTGAAAACATCACATTGCTCCAGCGTCGATTATCCCAGTGTTGACGATCCCTACACCAACGACGTCTTGCCTGAATGTGATGATCTCTCAAACAAGGGATCACACGAGGACGTCGGGCGCGAAGGTGACCCCTATGCAGTCGATTCCGAATCGTCTGGCCACTCACTCTCACACCAGTGTCTGTTTGAAGACGAGCGCTGATCTGATTTCCTGTGATGACACGATTTCTCAAGGCCAAGGTACGGATAAATCGATCCTGGGCTTGAGTTGTCGCCCTTGGTCGACCTGAGCGTGGTCTGTCCTGTACAGATTGTGTATCACGGTATCTGGACCATAG